CAGGAGGTCAAGACCAGCCTGGCCAACATACTGAAACCCTATATCTACTAAAAAAAAAACTAGCTGGGCGTGGTGGGGGCCACCTGTAATCCCAGCTATTTGAGGGGCTGAGGCAGGAGAATCGCTTCAACCTGGGAGGTGGAGGTTGCAGTGAACCAAGATCATACCACTTCCCTCCAGCCTGGGCAATAGAGTGAGACTCTGTCTCAAAAATAAATAAATAAAGCTATTAGTTTTCTAACCTGATGTTCATTCAGGTGTTTAATCCAACCTCTGTAATCTACTGGCTAATGAAAATACTTTTGGGCCAGGCACGGTGGCTCACGCCTGTAATCCCAGCACTTGGGAGGCCGAGGCAGGCGCATCACCTGAGGTCAGGAGTTTGAGACCAGCCTGGCTAACACGGTGAAACTCCGTCTCTACTAAAAATAGAAAAATTAGCCAGGCTTGGTGGTACGTGCCTGTCATCCCAGTGACTTGGAAGGCTGAGGCAGGAGAATCGTTTGAACTGGGAGGTAGAGGTTGCAGTAAGTCAAGATGACACCACTGCATTCCAGCGTGGGCAATAGAGTGACTTTGTCTCAACAAAAAAAGAAAATAGTGAAAAAAAACTTGTATATGGACAACCTTTTATTTCCAACCAACATGTGTCTAGGAAAGAGCTAGTCAACTTATTTTATACATAGCATCAGTGACATTAAAACCCCCCTAGGGAATACTAATTCCCTAGTATTAGTGGGAAACGACCCAGTGCTAGGTCATTTCAAAATCCTGTTGCCTGTGTTGTGTGAATATCTGGAGTTCATCTGATACGGACTTCCTAAAAGTTGATTTTGCTTTGTATTGGGAGCTGAGCCACACCTCCCCTTGTTGTTCTAGTGGTCAGTAATGGTCAGTCTATGGCTGTTAGGAAAATGTTGCTTTTTAGCATCCCAGAACTCTAAATCCTGTAGACGTATATGGAATATTTTTGTTCTTTGCCTGTAGTCATAAAAATGAACAGAAGAAAATTCATTTTTTTTCTTTTCTTAACTTCTTTTCTTTTAACTCTTTAAAAGGTGAAATATCAGCCCTCGAGAGACTCACTTGCTAACTTTCCTTTTTTTCTTTTTTCTTTTTTTTGTGTTTCTTTTTTCTTTCTCTGTTTTCTTACATGGTTCTGGTGGATTCACATTTGCTGATGCTGGTGCTGTTTTTCGTGTGATCTTCAACGTTTTTGGGTGACCATTGACCCTATGACCTCAAAATGGTGTCCAACTAACCACTTAAAATTAACATCTTTTTTTTATTAACGAATTTATGGTATTATCTTTTTTTGTTGTTTTTTTTTTTTTCCTTGGTGGGGCTGGGGTTGGGGTTGTTTTTCTCTATTCTAGATTATCCAGCTAAGAAGATGAAAACTACAGAGAAGGGATTTGGCTTGGTGGCTTATGCTGCAGATTCATCTGATGAAGAGGAGGAACATGGAGGTCATAAAAATGCAAGTAGTTTTCCACAGGGCTGGAGTTTGGGATACCAGTATCCTTCATCACAACCACGAGCTAAACAACAGATGCCATTCTGGATGGCTCCCTAGGAAACTGTGGAACAGAGCTTTGACCCTCGGTGACTCTTCTTAGCAATAATGCATGCATTTGATTTAACAAGACTCTGGGGCCTGTGCTGGGAACCATCTTGGATCTTTGCAGAAGTTAGAGATTCAATGCCCCCTTTCTTAAAGGGGTTCCTTAAAAAAAAAAAATCCTTATTTCTACGGTGGCATAGAATCTTAAAATTTAATTAGAATCACAAATTTATCTCAGAAGCTTTTTAACAGTTGGTTAAATGTGCTTGTCCAACAAAGCATCCTAAAACAGGGTCATTCCCATACACATTTGACCTGGTCCAGCCTCTTCCAAACGAATAGCCCCAATTCTGACGGAAAGAAAGTTTTATTTGTATTTTAGTACTGTTTGGTCAATTTTGATACATAACTGGTTACAAAGCCTTACTGTTATTAGTGGGGAAATGATTTTAGACCGCTCTTTTCAGTATTTAATTCTGACAGATCTGCATCCCTGTTTTGTTTTGGATTATTTCTGTTTTGGAAAATCCTGTCTCATTTAAAACTGTTGGATATAGCTGGATCCTGGATAGGAAAATGAAGTTATTTTTTCATTGTGTTTTTTAATTGGGGTGATCCAAAGCTGGCACCTTCAAGCACATTTGTCTCATAGCCATTGCTGTTTTTATTGCCCTTCTAAGATCCTGTCTTCAGCTGGGTCAGAGAAAAACAAGAATTCTTGACTAAAACTGGTCAGAACTCATCACACAAATGAAACACAGTAGTCTGTCTCTCTCAGAACTGGTTGCAGCTAAAATGGAGAGATCTGACTGCCTGCAGTAGGACTTTGGACTTAATGACTGAAATTGCAACTTGTCCTTTTTCTTGGCATTACAGGTTTTGCCAAAAGAACTTTTTTGTATCAAATATTGATGTGTGAAAGTGAAGGAGCTAGTCTGCTGAACCAGGAGTAGTTTGAGATACTGAACTGTCATTTTTGCACATTTGAATACTTTGCAGGCTGGCTTTGTATAAACTTATCCTCTGGTTTCCTATATGTTGTAAATATTGAGACCATAATTTCATTATAAATAAATGTATAAATATTCTGTTTGTGGTTTCTCTGTTTTCTTCCACAACCCATCCATCCACTAAAATTCATAAATTTTTTTACTCATAGCATAATGCAATATAACATTATCAGAAAAATACATATACAGACCCCAAGGTTTACATATAGTTCCAAGAGTTTCTATAACTGCAAAATGTACCCTTAAAGTTCCATTTTCATATTTTAGCCCTCCTTTATTTAACAGACTGTTAAAAACACTTCATGAATGAAGCCTATTTTATTTTTGAGATGGAGTCTCGCTCTGTTGCCCAGGCTAGAATGCAGTGGCGTGATCCTGGCTCACTGCAACCTCTGCCTCCTGGGTTCAAGCAATTCTCCTACCTCAGCCTCCTGAGTAGCTGGGATTACAGGCAGGCATTACCACGCCCAGCTAATTTTTATATTTTTAGTAGACGAAGTTTTACCACGTTAGTCAGGCTTGTCTAGAACTCCTGACCTCATGATCCACCTGCTTCGGCCTCCCAAAGTGCTGGGATTACAGGCGTGAGCCACCATGCCCAGCCCTATTATATTTTTTTTGAGACGGAGTTTCACTCTTATTACCCAGGCTGGAGTGCAATGGCGCAATCTTGGCTCACTGCAACCTCTGACTCACGGGTTCAAGCAATTCTGCCTCAGCCTCCCAAGTAGCTGGGATTACAGGTGCAAGCCATCATGTCCCCACTAATTTTGTATTTTTATAGAGATGGGGTTCTCCAAATTGGTTAGGCTAGTCTCCCAACTCCTGACCTCAGGTGATCTGCCCGCCTCAGCCTCCCAAAGTGTTGGGATTACAGGTGTGAGCTACCTCGCCCAGTGAATGAAGCAGATTTTAAAGGAAATAGATTACTCTTGGAAAACCTTTTTATTTTTGAGATGGAGTCTCACCCTGTCAGCTAGGCTGGAGTGCAATGGTGCAGTCTTGGTTCACTGCAACTTCCACCTCCCGAGTTCAAGTGATTCTCCAGTGTCAGCCTTCTGAGTAGCTGAGATTACAGGTACCTACCACCATGCCTGGCTAATTTGTATTTTTAGTACAGACAGGATTTCACCATGTTAGCCAGGCTGGTCTCGAGCTCTGGACCTCAATTGATCCACCCACAAAGACTTTTTTTTTTTTTTTTTTTTTTTTTTTTTTTTTAATATATGGGAAATGGAGTCTTGCCCTATTGCAAGGGTAGAGTATAATGGCTCAATTTAGGCTCACTGCAACCTCCACCTCCTGTGAGTAATGGGGACTACAGGCATGTGCCACCATGACCTGCTAATTTTTTTGTATTTTTAATAGGGGATTTCGCCATTTGGCCAGGATAGTTGATCTCTTGACCTTGTGATCCACCTGCCTTGGCCTCCCAAAGTGCTGGGATTACAGCCGTGAGCCACCGTGCCTGGCCCAGAAAGACATTTAAAAATAACAGTTGTGGGCCGGGCGCGGTGGCTCAAGCCTGTAATCCCAGCACTTTGGGAGGCCGAGGCGGGTGGATCACGAGGTCAAGAGATCGAGACCATCCTGGTCAACACGGTGAAACCCCGTCTCTACTAAAAATACAAAAAATTAGCTGGGCATGGTGGCGTGTGCCTGTAATCCCAACTATTCAGGAGGCTGAGGCAGGAGAATTGCCTGAACCCAGGAGGCGGAGGTTGCGGTGAGCCGAGATCGTGCCATTGCACTCCAGCCTGGGTAACAAGAGCGAAACTCCGTCTCAAAAAAAAAAAAATAAATAAATAACAGTTGTGGGAGTGGGGGTGGGGGACGATTAAAAAAAAAAAAAACAGTTGTGGACAGAGCTGCATCAGAACAACTTTCCAGTGTGTATCTTCTAGCACCTGTGCTACCTAAATAGCCTGTTTAAAACAAGGTTTTGTTTGTCTTATATGTGTTTAAAATATAGAACTCTGATTAGGAAGTGTGAACACCTAGTTTTTGAGAATGAATTGAGGTTTCAATAGCCAAAGTCTTTGTGGCTGCCCCTTTGGGAAAGTGATTTTTCTGCTAAGAAGCATTTATCTTGATCCCAATCCTGTGTTAGGAGGATTTGGGGAGTGCCCCTTTCCTCACTTCCTCTTACTGTATTATGCCAAATTAGTTTCGTTTTGTTTCACAAGCAGCAAACAACTCTGGGTAAGTTGTTAATGTTTTTAGTGCCCCTGCATGTCTGTCATCACGTCCTCTCTGGTTTTGTGTAAATAATTTACTTTCTACTCCTGATTACCCGTGTCTGTGCGTGCATACACCCTGGGCTGGATAGGTGACCAGAAGGCCTTTAGCGGTGAGTCCCGGAACTGGGTTTAGGGACCTGGGGTGGGAAGGGGTGGGAAGAGGCGGGAAGAAGGCGGGGCAGGCTGCGGGGCGTCATGGGGTGGCCCTGCCCCTCCATCCGCGACGGCGCCGGTGGCGCCATCTTACCCAGCTGCGGGAGGGGTCACAGGTCAGTACTGGATCCTCTGCGAGGGAAGGAAGACGAGGTGGGTGACCCGACAGGCCGTGGTCTTCCAGGCCCCACTGACCGGCAGGGGCAGCAGGGCATTGGCTTGTGAGGCAGAGGGTTGGGGAGTCTGGCGGTGGAGGAGCAGCTGGGGGCCGGGAGGGGTCTCGGAGGAGAATGGGGAGGGGGTGGAACCTCCGGGTACCGCGGACGGGAGAGGACCCCTGTGGCCTAAGGGGCCGAATCCTTTTCTTCCCAAAACTTTCTCCTTGTCCCTACTGTGCCTACTGATCTAAATTTCTTTGTATCTTTTTATGTTTCTCTTTGGAAAAAGTAAAACCTGTGATGTGTCATGTGACTGGACTGTCTAGGAGGGAGGGTGAAGATGTGGGGGGTTTCTTAGAGCCACCAGAAAGGGTGCAGTGGTGAGCAAGAGGGACAGGCCAGAGTATGTATGGAAAGATAAGGCACTGGCTTGAGGACTGCCGCCGCGGTGTCTCCATCCTGGATTAAGCGTTTCCTCCTCCTTTTCTAGGTGGCTTTTCCTCGGGGCAGCCCAGGAAGGCCCCAAGAGGACAATGGATTCTGGAACTCGCCCTGTTGGTAGTGGCTGCAGCAGCCCCCCTGGGCTCTCACGGGAATACAAACTAGTGATGCTGGGTGCTGGTGGCGTAGGGAAGAGTGGTAGGTACCATTTTCCATTTGCCAGGAAGTGTGGATGAAAAGTACTTAAATGACCAGATGGAATATTGGCTCTCTTGCAATGTTAATACTTAAAATTCTCTCTATGGGTCACCTTTGTGAGGATTTGACTTTTATTTCTTGTGTTGAAGCCATGACCATGCAGTTCATCAGTCACCGATTCCCAGAAGATCATGATCCCACCATTGGTAAGTCAGATCATCACTGTGTTTCCAAATATATCCCATAAAAATATCTTAATGATAACTGTTTATATTTTGAGGCTTTTTTTTGGAGTCTAATTCTGATTTATTTAGAAACAAGGGTATCAACAATTGGTAAGCAAGTGAATATTTCTTTTTTTCCAGACTTAACTCTGTATGTCATAAGCCATCTTTATTTTAGTCTCTGTCTCTCATTGAACATTAATGGGACAACTCTCTTTGTTGTATTTTTTTTTTGGTTGTATATAGGCCACTCAACGAAGCCTTTTCTTGCTGTCACTTCTCTAAGGGCATGACTTGAGACTGACTCTGTAACTGTGAGTCAGCTGGTTTGAACTTCCACAAAAGGAAGCAGAAAAACAAGTAGAGCCAGCCTGCTGAACTCTTACAACCCAGATGAGGGGAGCCTGGACGTCTTGCACTTGGAGCTCTTCATTTACTTCCTTATATCTTAAGTTCATTGTATAGTAATGCCTTCTCCCACATCTTTTTTTTTTTTGAGACAGAGTCTCACACTGTCACCCAGGCTGGAGTGCAGTGGCGTGATCTCTTCTGGGTTCAAGCGATTCTCCTGCCTCAGCCTCCTGAGTAGCTGGGATTACAGGTGCCTGCTACCACCACTGCCCGGTTAATTTTTTGTATTTTTTTTTTTATTTTTAGTTATTTATTTATTTTTTTAGAGATGGGGTTTCACCACGTTGGCCAGTCTGGTCTTGACCTCCTGACCTTGTGATCTGCCTACCTTGGCCTCCCAAAGTGCTGGGATTACAGGTGTGAGCCACTGCACCCAGCCCTAATTTTTTGTATTTTTAATAAAGTTGGAGTTTCACTGTGTTGGCCAGGCTGGTCTTGAACTCCTGACCTCATGATCTGTCTGCCTCGGCCTCCCAAAGTGCTGGGATTACAGGCATGAGCCACTGCACCCGACCCTCCTGTCTTTTATAGTCTTTAACTTTTTTTTTTTTTTTTTTGAGATGGAGTTTTGCTCTTCTTGCCCAGGCTGGAGTACAATGGCGGGATCTCAGCTCACTACAACCTCTGCCTCCCATGTTCAAGCGATTCTCCTACCTCAGCCTCCCAAGTAGCTGGGATTAAAAGCATGCACCACCACGCCCGGCTAACTTTGTATTTTTAACAGAGACGAGGTTTCTCCATGTTGGTCAGGCTGGTGTCAAACTCCTGACCTCAGGTGATCAACCCATCTTGGCCTCCCAAAGTGCTGGGATTACAGGCATGAGCTACCGCGCCGGGCCGATAGTCCTTAACTCTTGATGCAGAACGCTAGTAGAGTAAAAAAGTCATTTTGTTTGCTTTGACTTTGTTTTTTTAATTGCTAGTCTCTACAAAGAGTAAGAACATTACTGTCATTCCTAAACCATAAGGAAGCCCGTTTGATTCTAAGAGTTTATATTCTAATATGAAAGAAAAATGGATATGGGGATGGGAGAGGGCAGAAAGTCAGCTATATTACTATTATTTTCAGTATGTGATACTCTTTGCCATGATCCTAGTTCTCTAGGAAGGATTTCCATTGGATCAGGCCTCTGCTGCTCTGTTTCCCACAAAGCCAATAATGTTTTGTGGTTGCCCAGCCTTGGATGTGGTCATTTTATACAGTAGATGATTCCAGGGATTGGGAAAAATAGAAG